TAAGGTTTTCTCTCAAGGTTCTTTGTTTGTTGAAGGAAAGAAATAAAAGTAGGAGTGATCATCTAATTGAGCAGTTGTGGCAATACAAATTTACATGTGTATGAGAGCTATGAATTGAGACATAATTGGAACAATAAGCGTAAAACCAACATGTATCTAATCACATATTGATTAGGTGCGGACGACGTCGTTTATACGTAACAACAAAGAATCGGGTATTGGAATCGGATCAACTACTCATTCTAGTTGATTCCATTCCTGATTTTGAGGGTGTTCAATTACAAATTTTAAGGTGGAACTTGCATAATGTTTTATTCCTTATGTGTTAGTAAACTCGAGAGAAGTCAGAAATTGGAATCATTCCAATACTCAATCATGAAGTAAACATGTCATGAAAGTTTATAATTAGTTTTTGTATACACAGAAGAAGCAGGAATTGGAATCATTCCAATACCCAATCTTGATAAGTAAACATACCATGAAAGTTTATAATCAGTTTTTGTTATGCTAAATGTTTTGTTAAACATTTTTTCCCCTTACATAGCGAATTATAATTTTTTGAACTCAAGTCCCGTTCTTATTTAGACCAACCCAACCCACTATGATCGAGTTGGATAAGTCGATCGGGTTGACTTGAAATTGTGCCCACCCTTATGGCATAGTATAGAAATATGGATCTTAAAGGACTGGAAAAATAATTGTAGTGTTTTAATAAAATAGAAGTAATGGTATTATGTTTTAATAAAACATAAAGTATTAAATTAGGTATAAAAAAATGACAATAATAATATTTCAATATTTCAATTGTGGAGGATAATTTTATCAAGGAAGAGATTCATCAAATAAAACGGTGGAAAATAAAAGAAAAGGAAAAGAGTATGATCTGTAACGCGGATCAACAGAGGGGCAATGCCGTCCTTTAATATAATTTTATTATTGTATTCGCTAATTTGCTATATTGAACTGAATTGAATATTCGTACATTATTGAATTAGGACACTTTTTTCTTCCTCCTCCCTCCGAGTCCAATTCGAATTTCTACTCCCATCCCAAGTTCAAATTTGGGGCCTCGGATGGTTGATCAACGGTTGAAATCAATTGAAGTATCTGAAATTTAAAATGAATGGTCCCCTGCTCTCTGTCTATGATTATAACACCAAGCAAGAAACGCGCTCACCAGGTCCAAAACGCATGAGAGAGAAGTGGTGAATGTGATTTTTTTTTTTTTTTTTTTGGGTCTAAAAAACAAATGATGTTCCTCTGTCTTCTCATGCCCAATATTTAATTAAAATATAATAACATATAGGTCTTAATTTTTTTTATTAAAATAAAAAACGAATGATTCAATTTTCTTAGCCATAAGAATTTGTTCTTATCCCCTCTTGGTCTTATCCTAAAAAAAAAAAATTAAAATAGGGATGGGATTAAATTCCCCTTGCATGGAATTTCAACTTTTTGAAGGTTTAAGGCAAAGTGGTCGGCACTAACTTGTGGGGACATTTGGAGCCTACCGGTTACCACCCATCCACCTGTCGCTAGATGACCGTTGGACAAGTTCATCTTTAGTAATCTAATGCCATCCACATGTGGAGCCTACCAGGTTTCAATTCAAAGGCGAAACAGGAATGCATCAAGCAAATTTCATGTTTCAATAACGAGATTGTTCCAATAAAATGTTAACCACAGCACACCACACATGAATGATGAATGATGAATTATGAATGCTTAAATTTGAATGGAAATAGATAAAGAGTAGTTTATTTGCCTTTTCTATAAATAAACTATTTGCCTAATTGATACATGGATTTCAAAGGCTATGTTGTACCTAACCATTTTGAATGTACAAAGTGTTATGAAAAAAATATATAGATTAGATGTTAAGTTTGACACATTTTTTGTTAAAATTTTCTGGATTAGGTATCAAGCAAAAGCTCATTTCTTTTTCTTTTTTTTCCTTTTTTTGGTTGAGAGAAAGCTGATTTGTTTAAAAAGGTCTTAAGTCATGCTTTATGCGGACCCCAAGTTGTTTAGATGCTAATGGGTATTTTTGTGCTTCTATATTTCTATCCTTAATATTCCTTTCAAATTTGAGTATGTGCGAGTTGCTCATATTTTAATTGTTTTAAATTACAATTGTGTCATCTCCTTCTTATTTATTTTTTCTTCACATTTTCATATTGGTTCACTCTGTTATGCATTATTTTTTATATAATATATTTATATATGTATGTGTGTATGTGTGCTTCTTTCACGTAAGACGAATGCATTGTTCTTTATGAGCTTTCAAATTGGATGCTAAGTTATACACATGTCAAAATTGCAATATTTTAGGGTTTTGGAGGTTTATAAATACATACGACTTTGCCATGTAGTTACACACTCGGAGTCTATATATATTGTTAGTATGAAAATTGTGTTGTCATTTCCTAAACTCTACCATAGATTGAAAACTAGTGTGTGAAGAATTGTTAATGGAAGTTTTGGCACAACTCGCTCAACCCCATACTTCCGAAGCATGACTTGATTAATATGAGAAACTGATTTCAGGTAAATCATGACATAATCATGCATTCATTATAAGATTCCTAATTAGAGTTATTTTCAATCAAGTACTTTTTTATTAGCCCTATTTTTAAAAGGATTAGATTTTATCTCTTTATATTATTTCCTACTTGATTGGTCTAATTAATTTGTTTAAGTAGATATTGTTTTAAAAGATTGGCTGTAGTGGAAAGTCATTAGATTTCCTCACATCATGCATCATTTGACGTCATCACATAGCTTGTAAATGGAATTAGAATTTATATTGATATTTGGATAATTGTTTGGCTGTTGTTTTGGCGTCTCAAGGAAGAGACCTTTTAGCATCATGTTTAGAAGTCTTAGTTGAATCGGTTTGGAGAATCATTGATGCATAGGAAGTGTGTCACGTGGGTTTCTCTCTTGAGAGAGAAAACCTATCTTGAATAAAAGGTGGGGTTTTCCTTTTCAACATGCAGAGCTTTCGACATATTTGATTTTGAATATATTGAATTTTGAAGAGAAAGCTCTTGTGCATATTTTTTCAGATAATTATCAAATGTTTCTTGTTTACTTGGTGATTTATTAAATTCTTTCATTATTGATATTGCATTAATATGCATGTCGGTGACTCATACGGTTGAGGGCACCAAGACTGTGGTGACGGTTTTCCTCCTGCGAGCTTGAAACAATCGTGACCAGTATTGCGTTCAACATAAAGAGTGTCGAAGATCATCCCGTAACTGAAGTTTATTTTTATTTATTTGATTATAATCTTAAATTGGCATATTCACCCTCCTCTATGCATTTTCAGTCATCCTACAGGTAATTTCATATATATATATTAATATTAGCGACAATTTACTTTAAATTAATTTAAACTATGAAGAGGGGAATTCGAATTCGGATATAGAATGAAGAACACATCCGCTCTAGCTAACTTGACTAAGCCCATGACTGTAAGTTTATTACTACATATGAATATTATGTGTTGTTGTCACAGTTCTAAGGTATATAAAACAAATAATTATCCATTTTGCAACCTAGATACAAGCCAACACACAAATTTGAGATGTAATAACTAAAAGTTGGTTGAGTGACAGAGGGGTATAGTTGTTCGAAACCCTTAGACACCCAATGAATATAAGTTGGTTAAGCATTGTTTCCGTTATTACATTGATAAAAAATGCCTAACATTGAATTTTAATAGCATATATATGTATTTCTCTATAATTAAAAAAAGCATATATATGTATTAGTTCCTTATTTAACTTTTCAATTGGTGTCTAATATATAGAAATATAAGTTCCAAACCCAATTTATCATAATAGGGAATAATACATGGACATGGAACTGGATTGTTCATGATTAAAGCACAGAATTTGGGCTGGGCCATATTCAGCTTATTATTAGGCGAATTAAGAGCTTTTTATAGGCTGGCTGGGATAGCCTGAGACTCACACGGAATGTGTGACATTGACAAGAACAACTAAGCTTGAGACTTGGGAATGGCAATGGCTTGGCTACCTTGTACAACTAAGCCCAATTATTTAAGATGCTTTAATCTGGCTTCATGCAAAAGTTCAAATAGCTTTCATTAAAAAATATAAATATAATCAAATAGCTCTTGGGAAAGATTAGATATATATGGTCGTTCTGAGACCACTTGTTAATGGATGAGGAGGTGATATGCCAAGTTGCACAAGTAACAGCAACCGATTTGGACTACTAAAAGGACATGAAGCTAGCTATTAATTTGCCTTGTGCCTTGTGGATGACAAAGATGGTGCTTTCTGGGACCATGGCTTTGGAATTTAGATAGTAAATATTGGATTTGGATTTGGATTTGATGGAATCTAAATTATTTCATAAATATCTCCATGAAGGCGTAACCCCAGCGAGCGAGCATTGTAAAAGAGGCACTTGTTACTTATTAGTGACATATAGGTAGTAAAAATCAAAACTTGACAAGGAAAGTGCAGTCAATTCAAATCCCAGAACTTGTTTTAACTTTTGTTACTACAGGAAGATAGTATAGGCTTCTCCTTCTTTAGGAGAAAGACTTTCATGAAACAGGAATATCACTATTTTGCTTGTTATTTCTAATTAATAACGCTATGACACGCATGCCAAAACATTATTGACCGGAATAGCAAAATAATGTTATTCATGTTACAACTTAGTTTTTCTCCTTTCTTCATAGACCAAAATTCATAAGAAAATATCTTCTAGGCAAGGCATAGTCTGGCGGGATGTGAATTATTGGATGGCCTTCTTCCTTATGATTGCAACACGTCTGGTGGGCTGAAGATTCAAACTTAGCCACTCTATCTGAACTTTCTAGAAGAATATTGAAGGATGACTGTATATGTCATTTCCTCGTTCCCCACTTCCAATTCCAACCTAATTAATCATTATATAGAGTCTTTAACGAAAAGGGATCACCTGGTTAAAGCATTGGTTGGTTAATTAATTTTTGCGCATGTGCCAAACCTAAAGGAGGAGGAGGAGGAGAGGACAAGGAGCAGTTAGTTATTTTCATGTCAATAGTTTACCATATAATGTATGGATTTGGGGTCTGGGGTTTTAATTTAATTTAATTTATTCCACTTTCAGAAACTAGAGACACTAATAATTCATGTAATCTATCTAGCTAATCCCACGGCACAAGTAACCCTACAGGCTGCAGGCTATATATACATAAATTATCATTCATTTGGGTTTGTGTGTATCAATATCTTGAGTGAGTGAGGCCCCAAACAAACGGAGCACTTTGGTTGATTATAGGCTTATAGTTAAGTTGTAGCAATTAATGGAGGGCGAGGGCGAACATATGAAGAACAAAGAGAACAAAATTGTGGTGGCAGTAGATGAGAGTGAAGAGAGCATGCATGCTCTGTCCTGGTGTCTGGGACACCTCTCTTCTTCTAAAAACACCAGCAACACTCTTGTTCTTCTCTATGTGAAACCACCGCCAGTCCATTCCACTTTCGATGCTGCAGGTAATTAATTGGCAACAAGCTTTTTAGATTTTATTTTGGCTTTGAACCATCACAGCAGATATGTGATGTGTGACGATCGTGTTTGTTAATGAACTAATTCGGAGATGGTGTACTTGATTTCACAGGATATATGTTTTCCAGCGATGTAGTTGCAACCATGGAAAAATACGGCACTGACATGGTCAATTCAGTGATGCAAAGAGCCGAAGCTGTCTACAGAAATTTCCACACCAATGTATATATTTATTTATTTTTGTTCCGGTAAAAGTACAAGTGCTTGTGTTTAATTTGAAATTACTATAGTATTACAAGTTGTAATTAAGTTGATGTGGTGATGCAGGCACATGTGCATATTGAGAGAATGGTAGGGAGGGGGGATCCAAAGGATGTGATATGTAATACGGTTGAGAAACTTAGAGCTGATACCTTGGTCATGGGAAGCCACGGTTATGGTTTCCTTAAGAGGTGAGCTGCTAGGACTAGTAGTACTGTCACTGCCGAATGCCGGATGCCGATATTGGAATGAATGAATGAATCATATCGTATCATATCATATCCTCAACATCAATCATCATTCATATAATTCAATTGCAATGGGAATTTGCTTGATTATTATGATTTATGAATTATGTATCTGTAATTAATCCTTTGTCCATCTGCAGGACTCTTGTTGGAAGTGTAAGTGATTATTGTGCCAAACACGTAGAGTGTCCGGTGGTGATTGTGAAGCATCCTGCCAGTGCCTGACCAGTGACAACAAATAAATGATAATCAGCACTTTCTGTTGTATTCTAATCTCAAATCAAATGAAGAGATGGCGTTGGGGAATCCTGATTCCTGGTCTGGTGACTGGTCTGCCTTGTGTAATTATAAAAATAAGATTTATATTCTGCCTGTGTATACATATATCGATTGGTTACAATTAAGTTAATTACCTCTCATAGCCTGCCAAATTGCCAATGACAAGTTAAGCCCTGTCTCTGTGAATGCTAAATATATATATATATATATATATATGATATGAAATCATCTATCTATGAGTATGAGCTATATATGATCAGATTCAATTCAAACTCTATGCCCTGCCCAGTGCCCAGTGCCCAGTGCCCAGTAGATAGGAAGGCAGGAAGCAAGGAAACAATATCAAAGTCCCAGACAGAAGACACACACACTCATTTAGATTTGAAGCTCCCATCCCCAGTAATACAGTATGTCCCAATAATATTTGCATTCCCCCTGCGCTTGGCTGACTCGACTTCCACAAGACAAACCAATTCATGTATAATCAACTCTCAGTGAAGGACTATGATTGCCTTCCAGCTGCTAATTCTCACATCACATCAAGCTCCCTCCACAACCACAGTCGCACCGGAACGAAATGCCTATGAATCCGTTGATTAGATGATAGACACATGAATGAATTATTATTGGAATGGAGCTACATAGAGTAAAAAGTAGTACCAAATATGTTTGTTTTCTTTGGGCTTAGCCTGCCGTTTCTCCACCAAAAGAAAAAAAGAAACTAGTACCAAGTTCATAGCGTCCCAAACAAATTCATGAAACAAGAAGCGTTTTATTCATATATTATATAATGGAGGTGTCAAAAACCTAAACTAAACGGTGGAGAATTCCTTCTTGTTGTTATCATCATCATCCCCACACCACACAGGAAGGAAGACTGAAGAAAAGTGGTGAAGTGAAGCCTCAAGAATTCCTTGTCTGGTTCGCAGAAAGAGGGATGAACCCTCTTCCTTAAGTTACGAGTTCGCAACAAGCAAACGGCGTCGTAAGCCGCCATCAACAAGCAAAACTAAAGAGAACGTGTTAAAAAGAGTTACAGCAAGCAACACACATTTTAATATTGTAATTAATTATTTTGACGAGATTCCGAGACTTAAGTTACCAGTTACCACAAACTTTACCAGAAAATTGCGTGCGTTGCTGTCTGCGTCTCTCTCTCTCTCCCTCTCTCTCATAATTCGCTTGTAATTTGGATACTTACTACTTTATTATATTCCTATGTTTGAGTTAGGGATCGTAGACTCATGAACTCTCATCGGAAGCCTTGAACGGCAGGATCCGATAAGGCTTCGATTGTCGTGGATCCGAGCTCGACCCGATCCATTTGGTTCCGATCCGCGTGAGAATTAATTGATTGAGCAGCACCGGCCAGCCTCTGACTCTCTGAGCATGTTTCTGTTCGACTGGTTCTACGGTGTGCTGGCCTCCCTGGGTCTCTGGCAGAAAGAGGCCAAGATCTTGTTCCTTGGCCTCGATAATGCCGGCAAGACCACCTTGCTTCACATGTTGAAAGACGAGGTTCCTTCCTTGGCTGGCCCCCTTTTCTCCTTTAAATTCTCATTTTATGCTTTAATTTTCCTATTTCGGATTAGATTATTTCTTGTAAATAGAATTGCCTCGGAAAAAGAATTGAGCAGCTAGATTTACAATTACAAGATCTATAGTTTCCCTTCTCCCCAAAAACAGTACCAAATACACAGCACAAAAATTATACATCACTTAATCACAGCCGCCCGCACAAGCAATACATCAACAACAAAGAGCGCAGGCAGCTCACAACAAGATTCAAATTTATGCCCAAAACTAGGAGCAATCAGTAAAATATTAGATTATCCACGGTGGTATTTTCATTTCATGTGTGCTGCTAGCTGCTAGCTGCTAGTGTAGTGATTTGTTCGAATATAAATATTAGATTGTTTGCAAATGAATTGCTCTTCTTCTGTGTGGTAAGTTCACAATTTGAGTTTTGTTGGTTGTACTGGTTTCCAGAGACTGGTACAGCATCAGCCTACGCAGTATCCAACATCAGAGGAGTTGAGCATTGGGAAAATCAAGTTCAAGGCCTTTGATTTGGGAGGTCATCAGATTGCTCGCAGGGTCTGGAGAGATTACTATGCAAAGGTTAGATATATTGTTTCTCAATTGTCGTGTCTCTGCAGCGTTATTTTGCAATGTCTCTCTCTTGTGTCGACTCAAACCTGCTTGCAATAGGTAGGTCTTTTTTACTGGTCAGAAATCTGGTGAAGAAAGCTTCGTCCTTGCCATCATTCAGAATTTCATAGTTTAATCCATGTTGGTACTGGGTTCTTTCTCGTCCTGGTCGAGCCTTCAACTTCTCTGCTTGCTTGGTACAACCAATTTATGCATTTTTCTTTAACTGATTGAAGCCTCGGATATTTTGCATGGACACAAGTGTTTGTGTTGCATCTTTAATGCTCTGCATCTCAGTTGTAGAACCTTGTACCTCCTTCTCTGTGATAGATGTTTAAGTTTGAAATTACTTTGCCCCTTGTATGTTGTGATTGGACTTTCATCAGCTAGGAAAGGGTTCCAACATGGGTTATACATACATGGTTTGCTTTTTACAGGTAGATGCTGTGGTGTACCTTGTGGATGCCTATGACAAGGAGCGGTTTGCTGAATCAAAAAAGGAACTTGATGCACTCCTTTCTGATGAAGCTCTTGCCAATGTCCCATTTCTAATTCTAGGGAACAAGATTGACATACCATATGCTGCCTCAGAGGATGAGTTGCGACACCACCTTGGGCTGACCAACTTCACCACTGGCAAGGGCAAGGTAAACCTAACAGACTCAAATGTCCGTCCATTAGAAGTATTTATGTGCAGCATTGTACGAAAAATGGGGTATGGTGATGGTTTCAAATGGCTCTCTCAATACATCAAGTAGGAATATGGTCGACAACATGTACTACAGCCCCTTGAACTACTACAACCTGTGGCACCTTACCTCAATTTTATTCAGTCTTGTTTTATTTAGGCTCTTAAATTGGATCTTTTATTGTCTTCGGATTTGTGTGGAAGGAAATATCAATGCCACTGCTTTGTAAAAAAATTATTTGTGGCCTCAATCCTTCTCTTGCATATTTCTATTGTTTTGGAGCAAGGAAGTAGTAGTGCTTGTCATTACTTTGTCTGGAATGACTTGTTTCATCTTCTAATTGTAGGAAGTGTTTAAGAGATAAGCATTCGTGCAGATATGTTTATAAAAATTCATTACTGATCGCTGCCTAGAAGAATTTATTAGCTGGTCTGGTCGTCAATGTCAATCAGAAAAGAAACGAAAGATACTCACCACAGCTTGGCATTTTCTTGGTAATTGCTCAACATTTTTGCAAAGATCCCAACTTATAAGGGTAATCTGAAAGTTTCTAATAATTACAATTAGGAAAAGGAACCTTCTTTTGAACTTGAGCTCGATCTTTTATTACGATTTAGGCTTCGGTCATCGCAGTTCTGTTAATAATTTATAGAAATTTAGTTAACAACTTAACCTAGTAATGGTTGAACCGTTCCTTGATCTCTGGGCTCCACTAAATAAATTGTGTGGCCTCTGGGTACAAGAATTGGCAGACGTGAGCTGGGTGGGTACCTCACACATTTGTGGCCGCAGATTTAATCAAACTCAGCAGTCTTGAAGCAAGCTTTAGCAATGTATTATAATATGCCCGTCTCTCCATGAAAAGCTGGTCAAATATTAGGACTAAACCCACCCCAGACCCAACGACCCCATCCAATTGTATTGGTTAGTTAAGTGTTTGTATGTATTAATTACCAAGTCCACTATGTATCCGTTCACCAAGATGGAGCTGGTTAACCAACATGTCCTACAACCTTAAGCTCCCAGTCCTACTCCTAGCTAGCAGCTACAAGGCTAGACGCATATACCTTGCTACTAATGATATATAAAACGCCACAAAACAGAAGATTTCTTCAACTGATCATCAAAAAATCCTATGCACCTCTTGTTCTCTCTCTCTCTCTCTCTCTCTCTCTCTCTCTCTCTCTCTCTGTGCCTTCTAAGAGTAGTTTGAATTAGTTTCAGTAGTCATCTTTTGAGCTTGAGCCTTTAATTATAATTATAATTCATGGGTAATTCCATCTCGCACAAGCAATTACATGCCAGCGCCACCGGAAAAGTGATATTATCGGATGGGTCGGTGCATCAGTTCAACAAGCCCCTAACAGTTGCTGAGCTCATGCTAGAGCACCCACAACAAGTGGTTATCGAATTCGGAGCGGCTGTCTCCGGAAAAAGGCCAACCCCATTGCCTGCAGATATGAAGCTAGACAAGAAAAAGATTTACTTAATGCTGCCAATGAAGCGAGGGAAACCAGTCTCCTTGTCATCCCAAGAGATTCACGGTGTTGTTTTAAGTGCAAATTTGGTTTTACGATCAAGGTCACTATTGTCATCTTCAAGGTTTTTACCTTTCTTTGCTAGGATATGCCCAGCAGGCCATCCTGGACAAGCTTGTGCTCTGCCAAACAAGGAATCTTGTGCGGAGAGGACGTCGAATTCGAAGTACATGCCACAGTTTGATCTGCCGGAAGACTTGGACGCGAGACCAGAATATTTGAGTAGGCAGTTTTCAGGCAAGGGTACTTGGAAACCAAATTTGGATACCATTAAGGAGAAAAAGGTTGACAAGAAGAAATCTCATTGGTTATTTTGAACTAATAAGAAAAATCCATTTTAGTGATGAAGTGCCAAGTTTGTAGTATTTCGATTTCGACTATGCTGCATCTGCATGGCAGCCCTTGTGAGGCAATGGGCAAGGAAATTAATGAAGAATGTTGTTGAAGTAAGTATATATATAAAAGATGAAATGTATGTGATTTATAATTAATTAGAGTTAATTGTAACAGATAATGGCTGTATGAGATGGTGTAATCTGTTCGACTAGTGTTGTTTTGTGTGTCATTTATGAGAGTATTTTGATGAAGGGTCTTGCTGCTATTAATATTTCATCACAGCACATCACAGCACAGCACAGCACAGCACGGCAGGAGGGGGAGGAGTTTTGAAAACAGATATAGAACAAAATCGTCAAGAGCTCACCCTCAAATAATAATTAATCTATATTTCTTTTCTTCTTCTTATTCAACTAACTTTTCCCAATTCTCCTGTTACTTCCACGGTTGATTAACCTCACCCACCCAACTAATTTGTTTGTTTCTGTTCAGAGCTCTAATCACACAATTCATAATTAGGCGCGCACACACACACACACATCTTAATTTAATCAGCAACCATGATTACTATTGCCTATGGGTCATCAAAGCAAATTAAGTTAACTAACAACTAGTCTGCCATTATCTTTCTCTTTCTCAACCCGGCCCCCTCCAATTAATTATTTCTTATCTTTCTCTCCCGCTTTATGTTGGATCTCAATTTGAAATTCCAGCTTAGTAGTTAATCACAAACAAATTCGGCCTCCGTACGTACGTTGACCAAGTGAAACCTGATCTCAAGCAGCGCTCACGACATGACACCATTGTTTACACCATAATTAACCAAGCGTGACTAAAACACCAAGGTAGACGTGCCTTCCTCCCTGCCAAAGGGAGATACTCTTCCGAAGGGACAACCACCTGCCGAAGCTCCGAACTGCCAAACCTTAAACACAGGAGACACGTGTCATCATCACAGCAACTTGCACAAAGTCCCACATCGGAACTTTGTGCAAACATCCTACTTTTACTTCCCTATAAATAGGAATAGTAACTAAGAAAAAGGGTAACTTCTCTCTCTCACTATTACTGTTACTTTGCAATAGTCACTACCCCTAGCTGACTCAGGCATCGGAGAGTCTTCGGCCGGCACCACACCGGTGTCCGAAGCTTAACGATTGCTTTTCCTATCTTTGTCTTCTGCAGGCTAGCCCTCTACCGAAGGCCTAGGCCCTTCTCTTGCTAAGGACAATCCCCTATCTCTAAGTACCCTCTCCGAAAAAGAGCATCAACAACCATAACAACAACAACTTTATTGTTCAACTATATATACATACACAAGGTTAAGGTTTACGTAGCGTTACAAGAAAACAAAAACACTTGGAGCCTAAGCTAATCATAAGCAAGCAAATTAAGCGGGTGACAACACAAGGTGAAGACAACATTAATTCCAGCCTGCCTGCATTGCAATTTGCAATTTACATCTGCATATCAACTCATATCATGAACATTTATATTCAACTATTGAGGAAGGAATATGGTTCCTTGGCCACTCTACTGTACGTACTGTGCTATCTAGTGCGGGTTCAAATAAAAAAACTGGTGGCCGATCGATATCAGAGCGGAAAATCCCTCTATATATACTGTTATTTGGGGCGGTGCACCACCACGCACGGTGCATGATCATGATTTTAATGTTACTCTATTCTATCATTTATTGTTATGGAAAATGAATATGAAATTGATAATAAAAAAACTGTGTCTGGACTCTGAGGACTCTGAGAAAGATAGAAGTGGGAAAAGTGCTTGAAATGAAAGGACAAACTTAGATCTGGTCCAGTTGTTGGGCATCTTCCCAAGACAGAAGCTTTCAATGCATATATCCATATTATATGTATATGTTATGGTACCACTAAAAAGACTAGACACAACACAAGTTGCTGTCTTCCTTTTCCCCATGCCACCATGACCCAACAACTATCCCCATCTACAAAATGCCTGCACCAACAGAATATAAAAGTCCAGTACGCCCATACAATATTAGCCGAATACTGCTTTCTTCTTTTTTCTTTAGAAAAACAAAAACAATGCATTCTTTTTCTTCTTGTTTTAATGTTAACAGTACAGTGCTTTCTTTTTCTATTTGTTTTATTTGGTGACACTGACAGTATTTAATTTAAGAAATTCCTTTTAATTCCTTTGTTCTTGCTGATGCAACGCAATCATGAATCATACATAGAAAAGTAACCTCCCTTGGAAGCAAAGCCCCCTGCTTGATATTATCATTTCCATTCGTAAGGGCTTTTCTTGGTTTACTTGCCATACTATGATTATGATATGATGATGAGAAAGTCTTCAAATTACCAGTACTTTGAAGACTTTTTTTATTTTTATTTTTAAGCAAGATTCTCTCCCTTATTGTTATATCATATATCATCCCATGCTTGAGAAGCAAGATAGAATTGAAGAAATATTGTGCTAGTGGTAGTGGAAGAGTACTGCTGTAGTCTGGTGGTTATATCATATGTGTAGAAAATTAATCGAAAATTAATCCACAAGATACAATTAATCAATTAGATTATCTAACTTCACCCGTTACTCTTACAATTTCTCTATGCATGGGACCGGAGCCGGCATCTCTTGGAAAGTGGACGACCAATGGTTATCCATTTTTATGAGCTAATGTAAGTCTGCCATGAGTGCATATCGGATGGCCTACATAAACCTACTCTTCTGATCTTCTCAATTTATTTATTTGACTTACTTGCAAGTTACAATGGCAGCTGGTAAATTCAATTATGAATTTTGCTCTCATAAGTTATCAACTGGCCACCAACTTATGTGATATGATATTATTCCCCACCGCCCGCGCGCCCACACACACACACTGCTTTTCTCAAAGCAAGTTGAAAAACCATTATGAGTATATAACATCATTCACTAACATCCATCCAATATTCCATACCACCATACTTGCGTGCACTGCTGTAGCACGCGTATGGCTATATATACTACATGACATTTGCCTCCCCTCCCAGTCCCAGTCCCAGATGAGAGCACAATTTTACACTAGCTAGAAGAATGGCTGCAGCTTCAATATCCCTCATCTGCCTTTTCCTGGTTTTGGGTGTTTTCCAGCAAAGTTGCCAAGGCAGCGACTCATTCGCTTGCAACCCAAAAGATGCAAGGACCAAGGACTTACCATTTTGCCGTGTGACATTGCCCATACAAGATAGAGTGAGGGATCTTCTTGCAAGGTTGACATTGCAAGAGAAGGTTAAGCTGCTGGTGAATACTGCTCTGCCCGTCCCTCGCCTTGGGATCAAAGGCTATGAATGGTGGTCCGAGGCACTTCATGGCGTCTCAAATGTCGGGCCCGGAACCAAGTTTGGTGGGGACTTCCCTGGGGCCACTAGCTTCCCTCAAGTCATCACAACCGCTGCTTCCTTCAATGCATCTTTGTGGGAAGCCATCGGACGGGTGAGAGTTTTTTCCTTTTTGCTTTCCTCTT